CTAGGCGAGGTATTGAGGCTACTGTGTGTTGTGGTACCCATTACCGGACAGAGTATGAGGATAACCATTTAATTATAGAGAAAGGTTTGTGTCCATGTGTAATGAGGGTTCCTATTATAACGACCCCAGAAATTCTAAAGGAAATAAATTATAAATTTAGTGTGGAAGCGAAATAAATAACTAGCGTTTATATTTCTTACACAATAACTGAAAATATCAAATAGGGCTTATGGGAATACTCTTTTAAAAGAACAAATAATAACCAAGAAAATAAATTAAAAGTAAACGACTGAACGTCCTACTCGCAATCATCTTGTGGATCGGGCTTTGCATCCTGGTCATCTTAATCTGAAATAGTTAATGAAAGAATGAGCTACACTAGCTAAGTAAGAATATCACGCTACTCACCGACACAGAAATGAAGGTTGGTAGAAATAATAAAAATAACTAATAGAGCTCTTAATTTAGTAAAGTTGTCATAAATAAAATAATTTACTGTCTACTTACCATAACGAGACTTATGAAAATAACCTATAGAAGCAATGACATAGCACATTTTATAATTTTATATGCAATCAGTTGGAATAATAATCTTCTCCTTTATCAGCCTACTAGTATCCATGGGGGTTCATAGGGATGTCCCCACAACACATGAACCATTTCCTTTAACATCTTCAATTAACGGGCTATCCCCATACCTCGTCCGGTATGAGTGCCAAGATTATTAAACCTCGATACCCCATCCAGTATGAGGGTGAAACGGGTCATCCTCATACTCTGTCCGGTATGAGCGTCAAATAACCAAACCTCGATACCCTGCCCGGTATGAGACAACATTCACAGTAGGGCTTCCTATGTACCCGGTCCGTCCATCATTTCCCAGGATATCCAGTAAGGCTATTGTTTCGTCCATTCACTTAATCACACAATCTCTCATTTATCTTTAATATCAAATTTTCCAATTCAATCATAATCACATAAAACAAACAAAACACGCATCAGGGAATGCAATCATGTCCCAGTTTTCCAATTTAACTGTAGTTATATAAGACAGTAATATATGCATTCAAAACTATAAAATCGATCAATCAGATATTATAATGCATTCAAATTGTAAAATAAATCAATAGAAATCAACGGAGAATAATTTTTGATTTTGTCTATATTAGTAACCTGTAATTAATTATAAATATTTTTTAAAATTACACAAAATATCATATTATTGTTAATTAGACTTATATTCTATAACAGAAAATAAGGTGAGAGATTCTTACTCAAATTGATGCCCAAAATGCTAAACTTGTTGACTGTGCCTATTAGCAGTCTTCGGATTCCCTAAATTTTTCTTCAGAGATTAAAACGCACTACAGGTACCTAGAAATATCCCAAAAAATCTAAAATCAATATCAGGGCCCCTTTTTGGCCAATTCTAGAATTCCGACATGGCGGCTCCGCCGTGCTCTAGTGACGGTACTGCCGCCCACGGTGGTGATTTACCTCGGGTCAACTATTTTTGGTCATTTTCGGTCAAATTCGGCCGCTTTTGTATCAATCCTTGTGATAAAACAAGTTAAGGGGCCTCGGTTGGCTGAAAAAACTAAAGAAATAAAAACTCACTGGCGGTGGAGTTCTCTGGTGCGGCGGCTCCGCCGATTCACCTTTATGGTTGGATGTTTTGTTTCGGTTAACCTGCAGAGAAAGAAACGGTGATTACAATGGTAGAAGAATTACGCAGAATGGGAATCGGGAAGGGCCTCATTGGAGGCATTTTTTGTAATTTCCTGCGGCGGTACCGCCGGACTTTGCCAGTTGTTTTCAGCCAACTCGTCTGTTTTTCTGCTCCAATTTGGCCATGTGAGTGTTTAAAATTGAATTTTGAGTAAAAGGGGAAACGTTTACCTCTTTTGGCAGTCGAAAGTGGCTCCGGGGTGGCGGCGGTTCGCGACAGCTTCCTTTTTGGCAGTTGGGTCTTCTTATCCAGTAGGGAAAAGGGGGTCGGTAACTAAGGTTAGGGCTTGGTGTGAAGAGCGTTATTTATACCCGACCCCTTTTAATATGAACCATCCATCGCGTTTAATCTGGACCGTCTGATCGCGATTAAATAGGGAGTGAATATGGACCGTTCATCGCGATCTGATCTGAACCGTACAATCACGTTTAAATAAGAAGTAGATCTAGAATGTTGATCGCGTTTAAATCTAACTGTCCGATCGTGTCTGAGGAGGGAATGCATCCGGGCCGTCCGTGCTCACGGGAGCGAATCTAGGCTGTCCGATTACAGGCACGCGGATCGCCAGTGTGGCCTCCCGCGTGGCACCGCGTCAGCGTCCCTTGTTACTTGGCGTACTCCAATTCATCGGGGCTGCTGACTGAGCGTCCTACGTAGCAAAACTTTCCTAAATTGCGTTTTGACCTCTAATTTTTTATTTTTCTTTCAAAAATATCTCCATAACCCAAATTGTCACCCATTTTTTCCAAAATTCTTTTCAATTTCATCCTTCACCTATTTTTCTTTATTTTTACATTAAATTAAAATTAAAAAATTAAAAAATTATATTTATAAATTAATTTTAAATACATTAAAATTAATTGGATATTACAACTCTCCCCCCTTTAAAAGAAATTTGGTCCCTCAAATTTGTCTCTCTTTCCCACTCAATCAAACAGTTGGGGATAATGGGCTCTGAAGTCCGATTCTAACTCCTATGTGGTCTCGCCTGGTGTGTGATTTTGCCATAGGACCTTAACAAAGAAAATTTTTCGGTTGTGGAGTACTCTGCTCTTTCGGTCCATGATGCCGACCGGTACTTCCTCATAGGACAGATCCTCTTGGAGAGAAAGAGGCTCGTGGGCCAAGACGTGAGAGGGGTCTAGGTTGTACTTTCGTAGCATGGACACATGAAATACATTATGGACTCTGAAAAGTTCTAAAGGCAATGTTAGTCTATAGTCGGCGATACCAATTCTGTCTAAAATTTCAAATTGCCTAATAAACTAAGGATTTAGCTTACCTCTCTTACTAAACCTACAGATTCTCTTGAAATGAGTGATCTTAAAGAACACTCGA